CCTTCACTTCCAATCCATGAGCATGGGATATTTTTCCACTTGTTTGTGTCATCTTTGATTTCTTTGAGCAGAGTTTTGTAGTTTTTATTGTAAATGTCTTTCACTTTTCTGGTTAGGAAGATGCCAAGGTATTTCTTTTTTGTGTGTGCTATTGTGAATGGGATTGTGCTTTTTATTTGGGTTTCTGTTTGTTTATTATTGGTGTAAAGAAATGCGATTGTCTTTTGTACATTTCTTTTATATCCTGAGACTTTGCCAAAGTCCTTTATCAGTGTAAGGAGGTTTTTGACAGATTCTCTTGGGTTTTAAAGGTACATGATCATGTCATCTTCAAAGAGAGATAACTTGACTTCCTCTTTTCCTATTTGGATACCCCTGATTGCCTTCTCTTGTCTGATTGCTCTAGCCAGGACTTCCAATACTATATTGAACAGGAGGGGTGAGAGTGGGCATCCTTGTCTTGTTCCAGTTTTCAAAGGAAATGGTTCCAATTTTTTCCCATTTAGGAGTATGCTGGCTGTGGGTTTCTCATAGATGGCTTTTACTATTTTGAGGTATGTTCCCCGTATGCCTAGATGTTCGAGGGTTTTTATCAAAAAGGGGTGCTGGATTTTATCAAAAGCTTTTTCCGCATCTAATGATATAATCATGTGGTTTTTGTTCTGACGTCTGTTGATGTATTTAATTACATTTACGAATGTTGAACCAGCCTTGCATCCCAGGTATGGAGCCTACTTGGTCATGATGGATGATTTTTGAGATGTGTTGTTGAATCCGGTTTGCTAGGATCTTGTTGAGGATTTTAGCATCTATGTTCATCAAAGATATTGGCCTGTAGTTCTCTTTCTTTGTTGGGTCTTTACCTGGCTTGGGTATCATTGTGATGTTAGCTTCGTAAAATGATTTGGGGAGAATTCCATCTTTCTCAATCACCTGAAATGCCTTCAGTAGGATTGATATCAGCTCCTCCTTAAATGTCTTGTAGAATTCTACTGGAAAGCCATCTGGACCCGGGCTTTTTTTTGTAGGTAGTTTCCTTATCACGTAGTCAATTTCCTTGATTGTTATTGGTCTATTTAGGGTCTCAATTTCTTCTTGTTTCAACCTAGGCTGGTTGTGTGATGTCAGAAAGTCCTCCATTTCCTTAAGGTTTTCAAGTTTGTTTCCACACAAGTGTGAATAGTAGTCTCTAATGATCTTTTGTATTTCTTCAGGGTCAGATGTGACTTCATCTTTTGTGTTTCTGATTGTGTTTATTTTGGGCTTTTTCTCTCTTTTTCTTGGTCAGTCTAGCTAGGGGACTATCGATCTTGTTTATCCTTTAGAAGAACCAGCTTTTTGTTTCATTGATTTTTTTCTATTATCTTTTTGTCTTCTATGTCCTGGATTTGGGATTTTATTTTGGCGATCTGGACTCTTCTGCTGAAATTAGGGTTTTGTGATTTTAAAATAGTCATGGACTTAGGTTTTTATGAGCCATTGTGGTAGCCTAGAAATATTTCTATAGAGTAATATGTGAACTTTAATAAGATACAATTATATCAGATGATATTTTATAGCATAACACATTTGTACGCAGTAATCTATCTATATTACAATACTGTTTGTTGCCTTGAGATAGAAACTTGGACTCTTACGGTATCAGTGGCTAAAAAAAAAAGCTACAAGAAACTACTATTAAAAAAAATAATACTAATAAAATGGAGAAGGGAGCCAAACACTAATTTGGGATCTTGGTAATGAGGTAGTCAAGATAGTATCAACAAGAATATTTCAAAGGAAAAGTAAAGGTAATTTTCATTTTAAGCAGATTGAATTTGAGATGACAACAAGTCAGTTGGAAGTAAGATGACAGCATAGGGAAAAAGAACTGAACAGAGAGATTTGGGAACCAGTCATAAGGAGGTTATGTAAATTCATAGCCCTTTTTCTACAATTATAAAATCCAAAAATCTCTGAAAACTCAAAAGAGGTTTACTTGGTTTCTAAGACTCACTTGACTGACCCTGACCTATTTATGAACTCACTTACATTCTTTATCCCACTTAGTGTAAATATTTATAAATTCTGCTTCAGAAAAATTTGATTGTGCAATATTGCCCTCACTCCGTGAGAGTATAACATAATATATAGTGTATGTATCTTATTAGCTTTCTAAATTTCTGAATCTCAAAGTACATCTGGCTTCAAGGATTTCATGAAGGGAATTACACACATACAGTTAAAATCATAAGCACAGATGTGATGTCACAGAGGAAAAAACTCTAAAACTGACCCTTGATATACAGCTACATTTCCACACTCAGGAAGATATTAAAAGTAGAAAGGAAGAAACATACTCAAGTGGTAAGTAACAGAAATGACTCTAAGGAACTTTGTTCCTTTCTCCTAACATATGAGTAGACTTTTTTCCCCAGCAGCATAAAGTTTATGGAGTTAAGAACATGATGAATGTTAAAAATGCACGATCTCAGAGAAAATAGATTTTGGATACTATACATGGATCACATGGTTGCCTAAAATTCTAATTGTCAGCCGGGCTCGGTGGCTCAGCCTATAATCCCACGCCTTTGGGAGGCTGAGGTGAGTGGATTGCCTGAGCCTGCGGGTCTGAGACCCGCCTGGGCAGCGAGACCTCATCTCTACAATAAATCAAAAAATCACCTGGGCATGGTAGCACATGCCTGTAATTCTGGCTACTTGGAAGGCTGAGGTGGAAGGATCTCCGGAGCCCAGCAGGTCGAGGCTGCGGTGGCCGGGAGCGGCCACTGCACTCCAGTCTGGGCGATAGAGTGAGACTCCAACTCAAAAAAAAAAAAAAGAAGAGGGAAATTCAATAGAGGTATAAGAATGGGTAAAAAAAAAATTCTAATTGTCTTTTCTGTGAGATTATCATATTAAATGGGAAGTGAATATGACTTTATCGTACAAATTCTACTTTTTTGTGGGGGCGGGACCATTCTATTCGTAACAATGAAATTGAGGTGGAGTATCATGATTCTCACCTGATTATCATTGATTGTTTGTGATTGCAAGCAAGCCAATTATTTCACCTGTCTTAAGTCTTCATATCTGTAAGAGAGGGGTAGACCAAATGATCTCAAAGTTGCTTTCTAAACTTAATGTACTTTCCTAATTTACTAAAATAGTAATTTTTACCAAGAATTATAATAATGAAAATTAAGTTACTGATACATAAGAAATAAAATGTGAGGAAATAATTTCTAAAGATAAACAAAAGCTAGCTTTTAAAAGTATTCTACCCTATTATATGTTTACATTAATTTTTTAAAATCCTTTTTCAGTTTTACTAAATGCTTTCCTATTGTTTGGGGTACAATTTTATATTAAAAATCTTCCCTATAATATACATTCAGTGCTTTTTTTCAGTGTTTCTTTTTATAAGTTTATGAAATATTTCATAAACCTTTAGCACATAAAATTTCCATCCTATATAAGGTAATGTGTTCATCTAAAATAAGTGCAGAATCAAAGGAATTTGACCTGTTGAACCCGAGTAAAAGCATCAAACCTTAGGGTTTTTTTAACTGAAGGGAATTTAGTGATGATCTAATCATTCTGGGCTTTATAGTTAAAGAAAGTAAGGTCTAGAGAAGTAAGTGACTTATAAGTGATCATGTGCTGGGTGGTGGTATAGTTAGTTTGTTGTCTCCCCACTATATCCTGTTGCTTCCTATGAATAAAAACTGAAAACCATATTTAAGGAATATTATTTTGTTAGCAGCATTTAGGTTGCAGAGATAATAGCAAGGACTGGTAGGATTCTGCCCTCACATAGGAAGACAGCCATGCTTATTGAATTATCAGATGCCTTTTACACATTACATGATATTACATTACATTAAGTTACATTCTCTCATATAATCCTTCCAACAGCCATGTTAGGCAGGTACTATAATCCCTGTAGAGATGAAGACACTGAGACTTGGAAAAGCTAGTAACTTACATGAACAGCTTATTAGCCAAGGTAGTCTAATTCTCTTATTCTGCCACTATATCACAATGTGGTCTCCCAGAGCAAAACAAATGAAGAAGGGAAAAGATTCTAAAAGAACATGTGATGACTGCCAGGAGCTTTTTTCTCTTCTAATAAATTCCTACTTATATATTAAAAACAAAAACAAAAAACTCCCTCATGGAAAAAAAAACAAAAAGAATATGTAATGCAAATAAAGTCATTATACTAGGAAACTCAAATTTGGTATTTTCTGCTTTTGGCAGATTTGGGGAGCTCCATGATCATGTGCTTCTTGAACAAGCAGACTTCTTCCTGGGTGCCTACCATTTGAAAAGCACCGTTGGGAAAACAGAAGTGTAAGACATAGAAGAAGCATAAAATAGTTTCCTTATTGTCATCTAAATAGATTTAAAGGAATATTTCTCTTTATTTATGAAGAATATATTTTATAAATATTATTTTTAATTATAAAAGTAATACATATTAATTTTAGAAAATGTAGAAAAGGATAAGGAAGCAACAAAAATTACCAGGAATCTCACCCTGAGTCAGCACGTTTTCCATTTTAGCATGTTCTTCTTGATAACAGTACTGATTCTGACAAGTCTTTAGAAAATTAATGAGTATACATAATAAATCTTTACTGTATATGTTCAATACACTTAATGCAAAATTTACCTCACAACTTTGGTGAAGTGTAATTTACTTTAAGGTAGAACTGAAGAACTATGTCTTTTAGGAAATCTGTAAGGTTGATGGTAAGCAGAATAGCTATAACTCAAAATGCAGTGAAAGCCTTAGTGTTCACTTGGACTGTTTAGGTCTGCTGACTAACAGTGGTATGGTATGAAATCACATTCAATATTCCCTTGACCTTGAAACATCCACTATGGAATGAGAATTAAAGACAGAACTGATGCTCCCACACCAGAAAAGTCATAGCACTCATGATTTCAATGCCTTCAAGTCTGGTTCATAGCCCTCTCTTTTGAATGTTTTAAAATTCAGAACTAAGTGTTACTACCATTTGAGCAACTTATTCCCTGGTCTAAAATGGTGCCACAAATGAATAGAATTGGAGTATAATTCTTTTTCTTATTCCTTCAGGTGAATCAGTTCAGACAGCTCTATTCCAAAGTCATCAACGATAAACATGATGATGTCATGGCCAAGTTTGGCGCTATTCTAGCCCAGGGCATACTGGATGCAGGTAAATGTTTTTAAGTCTGTGAGATTTATTTATTTATGTAAACTAAATTTAATAAAATAACTGTCTGCTTTAACTGTATGACATAGTGAAAATTGAATCTTGAGGCAAATTATTCATGGAGAAAATTTGGATCCTGCGATTCATAGAGATAATTTTTAGTAGAGTTATTAGGAGTGCAGACTGTTACGGTTTGAATCCTAGTCCCTTTACAGTGCAAGTTATTTTCCCTCTCTTTTTCTGCTTTTGTATCTTGTAAAGTCTACCTCAAAGTATTAAAAATACATACAAAGCAATTAGACTAGTGCCTATCACTTAGTAACGTGCAGTGAGTGTTGGCTGATTTTTTTCTCTTTAATTTTCTTGGTATATATGAGTTTTAAACAAGCTGGTATTGAAGTTTTTTGGGGGAAAAAACACATTTTAGACAAATTCTAGCATCCAAATAACTCCTAACATAAGATACATAGACTATTTACCTAATAAATGCATAGCATACTATGCCATCTGGCTCCAGAATTCACTCTTTGCCACCATACCATGGTCTATTTCAAAAGATAGAGTGGTGCTACCAAAACGATGCCTACACTCCCATGTTTATCACAGCACTAACCATAATAGCAAAATCATGAAACCAACCTAGTTGTCCATCAATGGTAGACTGGATAAAGAAAATATGGTACATATACACCATGGAATAACGTGCAGCCATAAAAAGAACAGTCTAAGTAAATTTTATTACAGAAACAGAAAACAGAACATATGTTCTTCCTAATAAATGGAAAGCACAGTTTATTTTTTTCTCTTTTGAATTTAAAAAAAATTTCCTCTGCTGCCCAGGCCGGAGTGCAGTGGCACATTCATGGCCATCGCAGCCTCAGCCTGCTGGGCTTAGGTCATCCATTTGTCTCAGCCTTCCAAGTAGCTGAAACTACAGGCATGTACCACCACTGTAGAGATGAGGTTTCATCGAGTTACCCAGGCTGGTCTGAAATCCATGGGCTCAAGCAATCCTGTCATCTCCGGTTCCCAAAGTGCTAGGATTACAGGCATGAGCCAGCGCACCCTGCTTGATATATTATTATTAACTAAAGTTCCTAATTTACATTAGGGCTCACTCTTTGTGTTGTACATTCTGTGAATTTTGATAAATACTTAATGATATATATCTACCACAACAGTATCATACAAAATAGTCTCATCGCCCTAAAAATCCCCTGTGCTAGGCCTGTTCATCCTTTCTTGTTGTCCTCACAAGCCTCTAACCTTTACACTTCCTCCATAATTTTTTAATAAACTTTCAATTTTATAGAAAGACATTTTTCATAATATTCTCTTAATTTTTCAATGTCTGTAGAATCTAATGATGTTCCCTCTTTTATTCTTTGTATTATGTTTTTAATTTAATAAGTTATAGTTGACAAATAAATTGTATATACTTACAATGTACATGGTGTTTGATATATGTTTATATTGTAGAATAGTTAAATCAAGCTAATAAACCTATTCATCACTTCAAATACTTCTCATTACTACTCTTTTGGTAATTTTCAAGTGTATAGTACATTCTTATTAACTGTAGTTGCCATGCTGTACACTAGATCTCCTGAACTTACTCATCCTGTCTCACTGGACTATCTCCATAATTTTAGCTTTGCCTTTTCCAGAATGTTACATAGTTGGAATCATGTAGTATGTAGCCTTTTCAGATTACTTCTTTTGGTAATGAGTGTTTAAAACAGGATTTAGGAGTAGCATTTTACTACTTCATAATTTTTTTTCTTCTAGCTGTCTCTTTTGGAAGTTTATGATTTTAGACTACAACCCTTTACTTATACATTCAGCACTAATACAGTTTTTTGCGAGTTTTTACTCTGCTAGGTTTATTTGTTAAGAATTGAGGGAGAATAATTCTGTTTCACCTCTACTCTTCCATATTTACTAGAAGTCCTCTTTGCCTTCTCCTCCTTCCGTCCTTCCTCTTTTAGTCCCTCTCTATTTGATTTTCCAAGGTCCAAACAGGTTTGGGTTCTTCTTTCTCTTTTTATTTGTAGTAATGATTTTTGCTTTAGGTATTTAGTGTGTAGTGTTCTATTATGAGCATAAAATTATTCTCTTGCCCCTTTTCTCTTTTTAATATCCTATCCTTCTGCAGCACTGCTGCAACTGCATTAGAAAAATTTGCAGACCTGCTCTCCTTTAATAAAGTTAGTGGTAGTAGAGAAAATCATGAGAGGGCAATTTCAAAGGAAGGAATGAAGCTTGAGTTTGTGAGAACTCACTCGATGATTTGGTCTCATCATGGAGAAAAGCCAAAGGTTAAGAAGGTTTATAATTGAAATTTGCTAAACTGTAAACATTATCAATAGGATAAACTCTACCTTGTTAATTAAATCTCAGAATGTTAGAACAAAAGATAGTTTAGTTTTATAAGTTTGAAGATAGGTTTCATTTAAATAAAAGGAAATTCAGCTTCAAAACTCAGATCAAATAGCACATTAACTAGGCTGCGTATCCCTCTCTTCTACCCTATCCAGTTTCTATGCTGAGTGAGCTACCATGCTTAGCTGTATGTTCCCACTAGCATCCAGGTTTATAGCTATCATAGTACTTTTGTGTCTTATTTTAATTATCTAATTATCTGTATCCTCCACTAAACTGAATTTTGTTAAGATATTTTCCAGTGTTTTGTTCGCAATTCTCAATATGTAGTAAGCATTCAATGAGTGTTGGGGTTAGAGTAGGAAAAAGTACAAGTAGACAGTTAATGTATACAATTCATTCCTATTGGAAAAACAAAATTAAAGTATTCCAGACTTTTTTTTCCAGATAAAATTCTTAAATGAAATATCTATAGTGAAGTATTAAATCTAAATTATTTGATTAAACAGAAGAAATCTAATTCTTACAAAAATTAAAATGCTTTTTGGTTTAGTAAAGTTAAGCCACTATTTACTTCCTGATTCCAAACAAAATGTGAAGGCACCTGTAAAATACTGAGATCAGGCTTGGGTGCAGTAGCTCACACCTGTAATCCCAGCACTTGGGGAGGCAGAGGTAAGAGGATTGCCTGAGCCCATGGATTCGAGACCAGCCTGGGCAACTTGGTGAGACCTCATCTGTACAATTAATTTTTTTTAATTGTCCAGGCATGGTGGCTTGTGCCTATAGTTCCAGCTACTTAGAAGGCTGAAGTAGAAGGATCGCCTGAGCCCAGCAGGTGGAGGCTGCAGTGGTCATGAGCATGCCACTGCATTCCAGCCTATGCAGCAGAGTGAGACACTGACTCAAAAAAAAAAAAAAAAGCTGAAATGAAGAGAAGTGAGATGTGAGCAATAAGAATCCAGCACTGGAATTCAAATTAGAATCCTGATTCAGCACAGATAAGCCCATTTCTATAGATTGTATTATATAAACTAAAAGATTTGCATTTCAGATCTCTGTGATTCACCACTGATACTGATACCATACAGACCGTAGGTTGCAACACAGCAGTCCATGGGCCAAATCTTACAAAGCTGTGTTTTGTTTTTGCCTAACAAAATTTGCAAGATTTTGTAGAAAATACAGACGAGCCTACTTCTGAAAACAAAACAACCTAGTGACCCTGGACCTATGCCTCTAATAACATGTTCTCCTTAAATAGGTCATGTACTTTCCAGTTTGCCTCAGTCCCCACTGCTCCCAGCCCACTTTTTTTCATTTGTTTACCTGACTTGTTCCTAAAGGCATTTGAGTTTACAGTCCCTAATAGCTTCCTAGAATCTCAGCCTTACAAAGGCTCGATAAAGATCCAACTCTGACAACTTGGAACTAGTTAACAGGCTTTCAAACTGTGTTTCACTGTACTTTCTAGAGGAATAGTCCAGGGGATATGGTAAGTTGTAGGTGAACAGGTCAAATTCAAACCATATGCCTTCCTAGCAGTCCAAACTTCTGATTAAACAGAAGCACCTCTGATTTTGTTGTTTTATATGTTGTGTTTCCTCAGAAAAATTTCAGTTGAATCGTGGATTGGAGGTTAAAAATTCTTTTGTTAGTGGTAGTGGTCTAGTTTAAATGCTTAAGTTCAAACCCTCATTTTGTCAGTGAGAGGGCGGATCTTAGAAGTAAAATGGTTTCTCTGTGGTCACAAGGCTAGATAATGTTAGAGCTGACTCCTACCAATTTACGTGATTTAATAATTAACAGAGTAATGTTTGGTGCTTCTTAAATTTTTTTTTTTTTTTTTGAGTTAGAGTCTCACTCTGTCACCCAGGCTGGAGTGCAGTGGCACATTCATGGCCACCCCAGCATCGACCTGCTGGACTTCATCGATCTTTGCATCGCAGCCTTCCAAGTAGCCGGAACTACAGGCGCCCGCTACTACACCCAGCTAATTTTTGGTTTATTGTAGAGACAGGGTCTCTCCAAGTTACCCGGGCTTGTCTTGATCCTGCAGACTCAGGGAGTCCACTCACCTTGACCTCCCAAAGTGCTGGGATTACAGACTGAGCCACCAAACCCAGTCACTTCTTACATTTTTCTGTAGCTACATATAAATCTTCATAACTTGTAACAGATATTTCTCATTATTCTAATAATTTTTGTTCTGCTTAGCACTTAAAAGAGCAAGAATCAGAACATATTTTTGCTGTTAAGATATTTTCTATAGGCCGGGCTTGGTGGCTCAGCCTGCAATCCCAGCATTTTGGGAGGCTGAGGTGAGTGGATTGCCTGAGCCCGTGGGTTTGAGACCCACCTGGGCACCTTGGTAAGACCTCATCTCTACAATAAATCAAAAAAATTAGCCGGGTGTGGTAGCGTATGCCTGTAGTTCCAGCTACTTGGAAGGCTGAGGCGGAAGGATTGCCGGAGCCCAGCAGGTCGAGGTTGCGGTGGCCGGGAGCGGCCACTGCACTTCAGTCTGGGTGACAGAGTGAGACTCCAACTCAAAAATATATATACTAATTTTTTTCTTTCTATAAATGTAAATGTATTATATACTTCTCTGCATTCAGACTATGATTAAAACAGAAAGAGCAAAACAAAGCAAGTGCTATCTACCCCTTGCCTCCTTGCTATTGTTGGCAAATTTGTACTAAAATTTTGCTTTTTTTATTAGCACATTAAAAGCCAATATATAATATAGACTAACATTTAATTTAGTATCACAGTTTTTATACCATTTAGGCTTAGTTTTTTTAAAAAATTCCTACCTATAAAGAAAGAAGGTCTAGAACTGCCCCAAGTCCAGTTAAAGTACAGCACTTCAAATTTTGGAGAGCCTAAATAGCTCACTAACTGTGAGGACTCCATATTAGATTGTATGAATGGTTCTCTTAAAATAATCACCAAATGCTTCCCTGTTGCAGTGCTTAGGAATTCTTATTATTGTTCTGCTGGATTGCAGTTCATGGTTTCTCTCTTTTTCTACAGGTGGTCATAATGTCACAATCTCCTTACAGTCCAGGACTGGACATACTCATATGCCTTCCGTGGTTGGTGTCCTTGTCTTTACCCAGTTCTGGTTCTGGTTTCCTCTTTCCCACTTCCTGTCATTGGCTTATACCCCTACCTGTGTCATTGGCCTTAACAAGGACTTAAAGGTATGTTTGTGAGACCTCAGCTTTGTGGTACATCCTGTTCACCATATCCTATTCATATTTACCTCCCACTTGAAAGGATTTCCATAAAATTTTAAAGATGAGTTAGCATCTCATCAATAATATATTTTCACTTCAAGTTGAGTCATCACCTTGTTGAGTGGGGTGTGTTAGTGAAAGTTTTGAAAGTCGTGTCTCTTTCCTGGCTATGTAATCATGGGTAAGTCAGTTTAGAGGGAATTACGAGTAGCAGGATAAATACAAAGATATGAAGAAGTTTTACAGATTACTCCAATGAATTGTATTTAATACTAAAGCTGTGGGAGTTATTGAAGGACTTCAAGCAAGTAAATGACATGAGATCTGCATTTTAGAAAGATCATTCTAGGCCTGGCTTGGTGGCTCAGCCTGTAATCCCAGCACTTTGGGAGTCTAAGGCGAGTGGTTTGCCTGAGCCCGCATGTTCAAGACCCACCCAGGCAACTTGTCTCTACAATAAATCAAAAGTTAGCCAGGTGTGGTAGCACATGCCTATAGTTTCAGCTACTTGGAAGGCTGAGACAGAAGGATCGCCGGAGCCCAGCCAGTCAAGGCTGTGGTGGCCAAGAGCATGCCACTGCACTCCAGCCTGGGCGACGGAGTGAGACTCCAACTCAGAAAAAAAAAAAAAAAACTCATTCTAGTATTGGTGGAAAACTCATTGCAATGAGACTGAGCAAGAAAGAGTGAGGACCTAAACTAATTTTTTTTTTTTTTTTAGTCAGAGTCTGACTCTTGTCACCCAGGTGGGTGTGCAGTGGCACACTCATGACCACAGTAGCGTTGACCTGCTGGGCTCAGGCAATCCTTCCACTTCAGCCTTCCAAGTAGCTGGAACTACAGGCATGAGCCACAACATCCAGCTAATTATTTTATTTACTGTAGGGACGAGGTCTTGCCAAATTACCCAGGCTGGTCTCGAACCCCTGGGTTCAGGCAATCCTCTCACTTCTGCCAAAGTGCTGGAATTATAAGTGTGAGCCACCATGCCCGACCCTGAACTAAGTCATGAATAATAAATATTTGAGACAGGGACGTGTTTCGGAATTGTGATACCAGGGTGATTGATTAAAGAAAGAATTATTACTAAAGGGAAAGGAGAACCTCCCTTTGGTAGAAGCAAAAACAAGACCAAAGTCAGGATCCAGGGAATCTGACAGAACGAAACATGTCACTTAAGTGCCCTGTCATCACATTTATTCTTTGGGGTTTTTTTTATGGAGTTTGTATTTAAGTCTTTCTCAGTCCTGTGTCCTAATGATTCATCATCTTGTTCTTTAAAGGTCAGAATGCTTTTTGACCTTTAAATAACTCTTGTATCTGGTCATCACTGTTGTTAAAATGTTCTAGTAAATTTTCAGAGTGGAAAATTTTTAGGCTAAAAATTGACTGATAAAAATAAAACTATTTCATTGTATTGTATTGATTATTTTTCAGTGTAACTATACAACCAATTATCCTTTGTTAAATGTTTCAGTATTAAAATTCACATTTGTACATATTGAGCAGTTTTTTTTCTGTCAAACAAAAATCTTTTGGTTTCCCAATCCCTCATTTTTAACATTGCAATTAAACATCCTGTGTAATCTATAGGGGCTTTTATTCTCTGCCAATTTTATGATCTCTGTTTTCATTCTTACAATGAAAGTGGGATAGAGGTGATAAGGTTCTTTGCCCTAGTAAGTATAATGCTTACTATCATTCTCTGTCAATGCAAATTGGGGAAATAGTGAAAAATTTAGACCAAAGAACTTTAAACCTGATCACTAAGCAATATAAAACTGACTTTCCATTATGCTCAGATCAGACTCTTATAAAACATGATTATATGGTATAGAAACTGTATACAGGCTTGTATAAGTTATTAGTATGGTACAAGGAAGGGACATGAAAGTTTGGTATGCAGAGTAGACAGACACTTTATGAAGGAACTAACGGTTTATCTGATGTTCACACCATGAACAGGACTTAACCCATTGAAGCAGAGTGAGATGCTTATTAAAAGGCACAGCTTAGCTGGGCTCGGTGGCTCAGCCTATAATCCCGCACCTTTGGGAGGCTGAGGTGAGTGGATTGCCTGAGTCCGCGGGTTCGAGACCCGCCTGGGCAGTGAGACCTCATCTCTACAATAAATCAAAAAATCAGCCGGGTGTGGTAGTACGCACCTGTAATTCCGGCTACTCGGAAGGCTGAGGCGGAAGGATCGCCGGAGCTCAGCAGGTGGAGGCTGCGGTGGCCGGGAGCGGCCACTGCACTCCAGTCTGGGTGAAGGAGTGAGACTCCAACTCAAAAAAAACAAAAAAGGCACAGCTTGAGGAATGTATAGGAAACTGCAAGTTTTCTGTAATGCACCTAAAAAAATTCAGTAAAAGAAGATAGATGCCTTTCCAAAAGAAGTGATAACATAGTTGAACATTTAGCCTGCATTGAAATTTCTGGTCTCCTTTTGTCAAGAGCACAGAATATATAAATCTTGATATTATTTTAATGGAAGAGTAAAAGAATTCTTTTATTTCTTCAGATGCCGAAAGTTCAGTATAAATCAAACTGTAAACCATCCACATTTGCATACCCTGCCCCTCTGGAAGTACCAAAAGAAAAAGAAAAGGAGAAGGTAGGTTCTTTGTTCCTTTGAGCAGCATATGTACTTATACAAGGAGTGCCAAAAAAATGTATACACATTTTATTTACTTATTTATTTTTGAATCTTTAAAAAAAATTTACAGCTGGGCTCGGTGGCTCAGCCTGTAATCCCACGCCTTTGGGAGGCTGAGGTGAGTGGATTGCCTGAGCCCGCGTGTTCAAGACCCGCCTGGGCAGTGAGACCTCATCTCTACAATAAATCAAAAAATCAGCCAGGCATGGTAGTGCATACCTGTAATTCCAGCTACTTGGAAGGCTGAGGGGGAAGGATCACTGGAGCCCAGCAAGTCGAGGCTGCGGTGGCCAGGAATGGCCACTGCACTCCAGTCTGGGCAACTAAGTGAGACTCCAACTCAAAAAAAAAAAAATTTACTCACATTACAATATAAGAAGCATTCCCCCTCCTCTACTATTTCAGAAGTTATATAATTTATGTGTACACAGTTATCTATGTATTACTTTTCAAAGTTGAACTTCTACCATTTTCTTTGACTGTCCTGCATTTGATTAACTCCATCTTTGAGAGAACATCATACTTAAAATGTGTGTACTTTTTTTTGGCACCCCATATATAGGAGTTATTGAGTATTTTTACTTGGGTTTGTTTTTAAATATGTTTTATATTTTAAAAGTAACACTTCTTATGATAAAATCTAACGTTACACGAGAATATGACAGAATATGAATAAGTGAAAGCCCTTTTTCTTTCTTGTTCATCCAAGTCCTATATCACAGGGACCACTTGTGAATCCCTCTGAAGGTTTTCTCTGCACATATCAATACTTTTTGTTTTTTGGGTTTTTTTTGAGTTGGAGTCTCACTCTGTCACCCAGACTGGAGTGCAGTGGCCGCTCCCGGCCACCGCAGCCTCCCCTGCTGGGCTCTGGCGATCCTTCCGCCTCAGCCTTCCGAATAGCCAGAATTACAGGCATGCGCTACCACGCCCAGCTGATTTTTTGATTTATTGTACAGATGAGGTCTCCCTGCCCAGGCGGGTCTCAAACCCGCGGGGCTCAGGCAATCCACTCACCTCAGCCTCCCAAAGGCGCGGGATTACAGGCTGAGCCACCGAGCCCTGCATATCAATACTTTTTATACCACAAATAGAATTATTTTGTCCATACTGTTCTGCATCTTGTTGCTTTCACTTAAACAGTCTGTCTTTAAAATGTTCAACATCTATGAATCTTTTTTTTTCCTTAACCACAAAGCAATGCCTTCATGCATGTAGCATTATTTGTTTTACCAGTTCCTTCTTTAATGTTATTTACAGTTATTTCTAATTTGTGACTACTACAAATAAGACTGAAATGAAAGTCTTTATACACATGTATTTGTGCACTTGTGCAAGTGTATCTATAGGTTAGAATCTTGGATATGAAATTGCTTGATCAAAAGTAATGCACATTATTTGTTTTCATAAGTATTAACTAATTTGCCTTTCAAAATGAACATAATCACTTTCTATTCCTACCAACTCAGTGATATATGTTAAATCAAAGAGTAATACATTAGAAAGTTGTACTTGTCCATAAAGTTTTCCCTCAGTAAAATTATCCTTTCGTGACACCTTATCTATAGGAAAATGGTTCTTTCTCTCAGAACAGTGTTTCATATTAGCCAGTTGTTGATTATTTGCTGTAAATTTTGTGTATAAGTAAGGATAATTATATAATTAACCAAATTAGAGCATGGCAGGTAAGAAATATCTTTTGACAACAGCGTCTTGTTTCATCAGCTGTATGTCAGACCCTGCCTTTGAGTCTAAAACAGTCAACTTTTACACCAATATTATCCAGCTTTTCACCTCTCTTTTCAGTCAGACACATCAAGGAGAATAATTCCAGGCTTACTACTCACCCACTCACTGTGTATTCACATTGTAAACCATCTAGTCCAGTTATGTCTTGTTTGTGTGTAGGTAAGGGACTTCAGTAATTTACCCTGTTGACTTCCTCTAGGTTTCCACTGCTGTGTTATCTATAACTGCCAAGGCTAAAAAGAAGGAAAAAGAAAAAGAAAAAAAGGAGGAGGAGAAAATGGAAGTGGTAGGTATAAATTGATGGTTATATGGATTAAAGTATCTATCTTTTTCATGGTCCAGATTCTTCTTTAGTTGAACATTATTCTGCCTTGCTTTTGGTGTACTTCAAATAATTGTCCTGTTCTCAGTATATAGAATCAATACTTTTACTTGGAAGAGACTAGAAATTGTATTCATTTGTAGAAGAATAGAAGGGTACAAATCAGGAATAAGTTCCTAGAGAAAATGATATCTAAAACAGGTTTTGAAGGGCAGAATATGATTTTCAGCAGATGAGGAGACGATGGAAGGAGAAAGAAAGCCTCTTTCAAGCAAAGTGATTTTTTGTTTTTTAAATCAGAGTCTTACTCTGTTGCCTAGACAGGAGTCCAGTTGCACGATCACAAGTATGGCAGCCTCAACCTTCTGGACTCAGGCAATCTTTCCGCCTCAGCCTTCAATTAACTGGAACTGCAGGAATGCGTCACTATGCCTGGCTAATTTTTAATTTATTGTAGAGACGAGGTCTCACCAAGTTCCCAGGCTGGTCTCGAACCCCTAGGCTCAGACAGTCCTCTCGCCTCCACCTCCCAAAGTGCTAGAATTACAGCATGAGCCACCGTGCCTAACCAGAATTTTTATTTGTTTAGATAGTCTAGTCTTCTGATCTATGCTGGTAGACAGTCCTTCTCATTTTTTAAAATCAAGTCAAATATCATTCTCATTTCTTAGCAGAGTTAATTTCCCCTCCCCTTAGTCTGGCATCATTTTAGTTGTACTTCCATTTTAACCTGCCACTACCTTTTGCACCTAATAGTTGCTTAGGAAGCTTTTCAGACTTTACTCAGTGATGTGAAACAGAAGCAAACTTTTATTGAGTTTTTGTTTTGTTTTTTCCTAGGATGAGGCAGAGAAAAAGGAAGAAAAAGAGAAGAAAAAAGAACCTGAGCCAAACTTTCAATTATTGGATAACCCAGCCCGAGTTATGCCTGCTCAGCTTAAGGTCCTAACCATGCCAGAGACTTGTAGATACCAGCCTTTCAAACCAGTAAGTTACCAATGGCTCTTAGCTATATATACAAATGGAATTTTAATCCATAGGACAGTAGAGAATGATGAATCTATTGATAGAGAATGATGAATCTCCAAAGTATTAGAACAAGCTCACTAGTACTGCAAAATCTCTTCACAAAAAATAGACCATTCCCTTCCATTTCATATAAATTTGGGAGAGTTTTTATTTCCTCTGTGTAATCCTACAAATTCCTCTCTTCTACCACAGATGTACACTACAGAAGTCCCTAATATAGCATAGTGGTTAGGAACATAGACTATAGAGCCAGGCATACTGGATTAGAATTTTGCTGTGTGACCTTGGACCAGCACTAAATCTCTCTCTGCCTCAATTTCAATTTTATCTACTATAAAATAGAGATTATCATTCCTAACTCATAGGGATATGGCACATATTTGAACAAGTAAATATACAAGCACTGAGAACAAGACCTGAGACTGACCAGTAAGTATTGATTATCCTTATAATTATACTGCTGTCATAAATGCAGTGAATTTTAGGGTTAGAAAAGAATCTTCATGCCACTTAATATATTCCAAGGCAGAAGTTTTGTGTTAGAAATAAATGCTAATCAGAAATTTGCTCATGATACTATTTTTTTCCAGATTCTTATATCTAGAAAACTAGAGATCAGTAGACCCATTCAAGACAGCCAGATGCTGTGTCCAATTAAAATGTTAGAGATGAGATTTCTAGATCCGTATATGAGATAAACCTATTCCTATCAACCTGATAGTGGGTCAACAACAACCCTTACTTGTATTTGTGAGCCAACCTCTTACCTGACTAGATTATCAGCTAGAGGAGACAGAGGATGGAAATTAGAGCTGGAATTTGGCATAACTGGTATATTAATTCCATTTTTTGCATTACAATAAAGGAATTCTGGTAGACTGTATAGGAAACATGACACCAGCATCTCCTCAGCTTCTGGGAAGGCCTCAGAAAGCTTATAATCCTGGTAGACGGGGAAGGAGAGCAAGCATGTCACAGGGACACAAGAGAAGGAAGAGGTGGTGGTGCCAGCCTCTTTTAAACAATCAGTTATTGTGTGAACTAGCAGAGCAAAAACTCACCCATTATCACAAGAATGACACCAAGCCATTTATGAGGAATCCACCCCGTGACCCAAACACCTTCCACTAGGCCCGATCTCCAACACTGGAAATCATATTTCAACATGAGATTTGGAGGGGACAAATATCTAGACTATATCAACTGAGTTTATATTTCAACTCATAGCTGTATGCCTGAGGCAAATCATTTAATCTCTTTATATTTCAGTTTCCTCTTCAGTAAAATTGGTAAGGGAATGCTACCTACCTCCTATAGATGTTGTGAAGATTGAATAGGTTGTTACATGTTAAGCACCTAAAACATCTGTAGCACAACCTGATCTATAGTCATTGCTCTGTAGTGTTGGATGAATGAATTGACAGAACCACCAATGGACACCTTAAATGCAGTCGCTGTCTGATCTGCAACCCAGTTCATCTAGTGGCATTTTCACAGATTGTATTCTAACACTGTCAAAACTTTCCTTGCTAGCTGAGGTGAGATTTATCCAGAAGAGATATATTAAGATACCACTAGTGCATATTCTAAGCACACAAGATACCTAGTGTTGTTGCAGTTATGAACTAAAGATAGTAAAGCACATGCAAGACTGCCTATATCTGTACAAGCAGGAAATGAAAGCTGAAGAACAGTTGTCAGCTGCCAGGCTGACTATTGAAGGTGTCGCCCAACACATGCACAGAGCTCTTCAGCAAAGACTGAAAGACTTAGTGTTTCCAGGTGCTTAAGGAAATCTCTGTCCAATCATTACCTGTCCGCTAAGTTCACTGAGCAGAGACTTCAGTAGCCACTCATGTCAGAGAATACAAACTTTATAGATGTAGTTCAGAAAAGTCACAAAACTAACAAATAGCAACAACAAAAACACTGGATTTGGGGAAGAATCTGATTTCCAGAGTTGCCACATTATATTACTGAAAACGTCCAGATTCCACAAAATTGTATGAGATGTGCAAAGAAACAAAGTACAACCCAGTAATGACAAATAAATAGAAACTGTCCCTCAGGAAGCCTAGATGCTGGACTTAAGGCAGACTAAATCAGCTATTTTAAATATATTCAAAGAACTAAAGGAGAGTATGAGGATTATGTTTCACCAAATAATGAATATCAAATAAGAGATATAAATTATTTTTAAAAATCAAATAGAAATTCTGTAGTTGAAAAACACAATAACTAACATGAAAAAAAAAATCACTAGAGAGACTCATTTGCACGTTTGAGCAGGCAGAAGAGAGAATTAGCAAACCTGAAGATAGATTAATTGAGCTAATCCACCTGAGGAATGACCAAAAAGGATGAAGCAGAATAAACAGTCTCAGGGACCAATGGCACACTATAAAGCATCTAACATACCATAACGAGGACTCCAGAAAGAGAAGACAGAAAAGGACTGAGGAATATTTGAAGAGATGATAGCCAAAAACTTCCCAGTTTTGATGAAAAATGTCAAGCTGCACATCCAGGAAGTTCAACAAATTCCAAGTAGAATAAACTCAAAGAGATCCACACCTAGACACATAGTTAAACTGTAGAAAAACAAAGAAGGAATTTTGAAAGCAACAGGAGAGAAGCAGCTCATCATGTGCAAAGCATCCTCGATAAGATCAACAGGCAATTTTTCATCAGAACTATGGAGGACAGAAGGCAGTGGAAAAACATATTCGAAGTGCTGAAAGAAAAAGGTGCTTAAGCCATAAAAAAGAACAAAATCATAAATTTTGCAGCAACCTGGATGGAATTGGAGTTTATAATACTGAGTGATCTCTCACAGAAACAAAGATCTGAGTGTCACATGTTCTCACTCATAAATGGACCTTGAACAACTATCGTAATACTATAAGAAAAGGATTGACAGTGGCAGGAAACTATGGGGGGGCAGGGAGGGGAAGGGAAGTGGGATTAACAGTAGTTAATATCTGTCTGGGGACAGCGGGGGCACACCTCATCAACAAGGGTACCTGCACAATATATATTTGTATACCTAACCCTTAACTGTACCCCACAATTTTAAAATAAAAAATGTTTAAGAAAAGAAATGAAAAAAGTGCTTAATGAAGAATTCTATTTCAAGTACAACTGTCCTTCAGAAATTAAGGAGAAATTAAGACATCCCCAGAAAAATAAAAATAGAATATGTTGTTAGCGAACCTGCCTTAAAGTGAATTCTTTAGGCTGAAATGAAAGGACACCAGACAATAACTTGAATCTACATTTAAAAATAAAGCAGGCTGGGTTCAGTGGCTCATGTCTGTAATCCCAGCACTTTGCGAGGTGGAGGTGAGAGGATTGCCTGAGTCCAGCCTGGGCAATTTGGCAAGACTTCGTCTCTACAATAAATCAAAAAATTAGCTGGGCATGGTGATACATGCCTATGGTGCCAGCTACTTGGAAGACCGAGGTGGAAGGATCTCCTGAGTCCAGCAGGTCGAGGCTGTGGTGGCTGTGATTGTGCCACTACACTCCAGTCTGGGCAACAGAGTGAGACTCTGACTCAAAAATAAAAAATAGAGCATTGATAAATGCAACTACATAGGTAAATATAAAAGATAGTATAAATGTGTTTTTTTGTTTGTAACTCTTTTTCTTCTATCTAATTTAAAGGACATCTGCATAAAGTAGTAATTATAAGCTGATGATGTGCACACAATGTATAAGATATAATTTGCCTTATAACAGCATGAAAGAGCAGGGGAACATAGCTGTCTTGGAGCAAAGTTTTTGTATACTATTGAAATTAGTTAAACTAGATTGTTAAAATGTTAATTATAATCTTAAGTAAGCACTTAAAAAAACTCAAAAATAAAGTAGTAAAAGAAACTCAAAAAAATAAAGTAGTAAAAGAAACAAAGGAATTAAAGTACTACATTAGAAATCTATTTAATATCAAAGAGGCCAGCAGTGGAGGAATAGAGGAACAAAATAAGATACAAGACAGCCTCTGGAAGCTGAGGCAGGAGGATCTCTTGAGCCTAGGAGTTTGAGACCAGCCTGGGCAATGCAGCTAGACTAGGTCTCTAAAAAAAGGGGGGAGTAGTATAAGACAGAAAACAAATAGCAAAATGGTAGGCATAAATCATACCTTCCTTATCACTAATTACACAGAATGTAAGTGGATTAAGCACTCCAGTTAAAAGGCAGAAATTGCCCACACCTGACTTTTTTTTTTTTTTTTGAGTTGGAGTCTCACTCTGTCTGTTGCTCCCTGCCACTGCAGCCTCGACCTGCTGGGCTCCGGCGATCCTTCCGCCTCCAAGTAGCCGGAATTACAGGCATGTGCTACCACGCCCGGCTGATTCTTTGATTTATTGTAGAGATGAGGTCTTGCTGCCCAGGCGGGTCTCGAACCCGCAGGCTCAGGCAATCCACTTCACCTCAGCCACCCAAAGGCACGGGATTACAGGCTGAACCACCGAGCCCAGCTTT